TCGAACCTGTCCAAGCCTTTATCTGTCCCAGTTTGAGCCTACCCAAGCCTACCCAGGCCTGGTGACTCCGCCGCCTATGGGAGATAGTATGCATTCGATGTGTATCTGACGACTCTTGAAGAAACACAAAAGAGATTAGGTAACAACATTGACATCACATTGTAATACGAAGAAAAAGGACATAGACAAAGGGTATATATATAAGAGTAAGAGTCAATTATTCTCCTTTTTTCTTTCCTGCGTAAATATCCGAAGAGAAATGACGAAAAACAACATGCACGAACGTGTGCATATCGTGTGCTTTCGAAAGATAATGGTATCATAAAAAAGTTTACATAATTTCGCTTGTCACGCGAAATCTGCAAAGGGTACTATGAATTATTCACTCGACCATGATGGTTTTGTATCTTGAGTGAAACCATGTGAGCATTTTTGTATTCTGAGTGAAACTATATCAGGATTTTTGTCGTTTGCAATTCTGGTATTGTTCCACTGACGGTTTTGTATTGCTCTAATAAGTTTCAAAGTTGTCTTCTACGAAATCTTTACCTTCCAAAAGGGTCTGGAACAGATTGTACAACATTTGCAATTATCTCCGTAAATAACTATGTTGCAAAGTGTCGAACAGACATTTTAAGAAGCAAAATAAAACAATTTTCGGCAACTGACTCCCTTATTTTGAGTTGGTACCTGCATGGACCATTTCTTATTCATACAACCATAAACATGTGCAACTCTATTTTAGATGGCATATCGAAATCTACATGTATTGAGATTCTGGTTATTGTGTTTTATTTTATTGTCGACTATTATTACTACTACTGCTGCAGATGTTGGACTTCAAACACGGAAAGGAATTATATATGGTCAACAAACTCAATATTCAAATGAGTATTTAGGGTGAGAGAGAATTGAGTGATTTAGAAACAACGTTAAAAACGAGTACGATGCTCTCGAACAAAGCATACGAGTAAATTGTAATGTAGGAAAAAGAGATTTCTCGTTTCATCTAGCAACAATAAGACTGAAAACTTGCACAACGTCATTTTGAGTTTTTTACCTCGACTGATTTTCAAAAATTTTCAATTTTATATTTCATTGATGCTTAGTTTTGTCTTCTGATTCACCAATGTATTATTCATTCTAGTTATTTTCTTATTCTCATCTCTCTTTTTTTTTTGTATCATCGCTCATAGCATAATAATTCTGTTCGAATGTGAAATGTCCAATTGATCTAATTATATACTCGATATTGCATCTCGCGTCTAGAGTTTTCATAAATATGCAGATGGAAGTTGTTGTCTTTGGGCTTTGTATAGTGCAGTACTTACTCTTTTGAATGAGTTCTGTGTTTTCAGTCCTATTCAAATTTATAAGACTTAATCAATCGTAGCGATTCTTTCGTGTCGTCATTTAATCACCATGCTAAATAAACAGAGTGCTATCTCGAAAAAGACGAATCTTCAAATTTTTGTGAATAACATGAAACAAAGTTATGTCATCTATGAAAATTGTTGAACGTTGTTGAAATAAATGCCTCTAGATAAAACAAATGTCATGAAGGAACATGCAACGTTCTGCAGAATAACTGATGCAGAAAAAAGAATTGAAAATAGTATGAACGATGGGATTTTTCACCAAAATTTTATCAGAACTCTCAAGAGTAGTTTGAGTCTCGGTTCTGCCTATCTCTACTTACAGTGTATGTAAAAAGTGAGAGGAATTACTTATCAATAATTTGAATCTTACTCGTAATACCATATTTTCTAGAATCCAATATGCTAAAGCGGATCGATGGAAACCACCGATTGATCTTGGATCTGAAATATTTCCACATGGTTCATTTCAAGCAAAGTCATTCGGCTCATGTTGTCCTCAATCAGATGCTGGAGTCTTTATACCTATCCAAGATGAACAATGTCTGTATCTCAACATTTATATACCATTGAACACAACAAATCAATCTTTATTACCAGTCCTCGTCTGGATTCATGGAGGTGGTCTTCAAGTTGGCTGTTCATCGCAAAGTATTCCTGTCTTATACAATGGTACAAATATTATTGCTAATTCGCCTCCACAACAACCAGTTGTTGTCGTAACAATTAACTATAGATTAGGCGTATTAGGTGACATGTACTTGGCAGAATTGACCCAAGAAAATCCGACGAATTGGCCGACAGCTGGCAACTATTATTATCTAGACATGCTATCAGCATTACGTTGGATCAATATGAATATTCGTGATTATGGTGGTAATCCCAACAATGTTTTACTATTTGGAGAAAGTTCTGGAGCCAATGCTGTTATTGATATTGGTGCATTAAAAGGGTCAACGAATCTCTATCAACATGTTATATCGCAATCAGGTGGAGCTGGATATCATCTCTATTATTCAAATATTAGTGATGCTATGAAAGAATCCAATAAGATTGTTCAACAAATGAATTGTACAAATGACAGAAGTCAAGCTGTTTTGGCATGTTTGCGTAATTCTTCGATTCCTGATTTAATCACCGCCTATGGTATTCGTCAAACAAAAGTAATTATTGATGGATACTTTTTACCATTTTATCCACCGTTGGCAATTAACAAGGGAACATACAATCAAGACATAAGTATGATGATTGGTCGTAATGAATATGAATCTCCAATGTGTTTTTCCAATCCTGATATGAATTCTACTTCTGCTATAGCACTCGTCACTCAGGGTCTGGGACAAAAATGGGCGCATGTAATTGTTGATAATTATCAACTGAACACCTGTTCGACAAATAGAAACGCTACAAATCGTTGTTGTGACATGGCCCGTTTATTCTTCACAGATCTAGTTCTTGATTGTAGCGCTCGTCGTATATTCAATAATTTATATCTGAAATATGAACAACAACAGCAGCAAAAATTATTTTGGTATCATTTTGATTGTAATTCTGGAATATGTCCTCCAAAGTCAATAGAAGACGGCCGTGGCCTATGCCTCCATACAGCAGAAATTCCATATGTATTTGGAACCATGAGTGATATGTATTCGAAGAATTTACACAACTGTACATGGGACAATGAAACAAAGACATTTTCTAATCAAGTAATTTCACATTGGATCAATATGGCTACAGTAGGAGAACCATTGAAAGAATGGCCAAATTATAATCCATCATCACCAAAATATTTTCAGATTACACCTTATCATGACTTTTCACCTTTGTTATCGAATAGAGATTGTTCACTAATTGATCAATTTGAACAGGAGAGAATCATGCTCATGTTCAGAGATTCCGGAAATTACAGCTCACGGAACTACGGAAATACAAATATTATTATGTTCTTCATCATGCTCTTGTCCATGTTTAGCGCTGACTACATGCGTTGTTATTTTTAAAGAAGAACTCAGTTTTATGACTTTTTTCTTTGCATTATAATGAACATTACCACGTAAAAAATAGACAGAATGTGGATGTGGGCGTGGTTTAGATCCGAAGAACACAGATACATCCACATCCCCACACCCACACCCTCTCATCAGCTGTTTAGAAATATTAGGAAAAACCAGCCTTGATAAAGACTTAATTCAACTCAGTTTAGATCAAAATTTATCCCTCATCATATCCACACAGTGCGCATCATCAAACAATGAAAAAGAAAATAGAATTCTCTGATTGTGTAGGAGGTACGGATGGGGCTGATGGATGAGCTTGTGGGTAGGTGGCCGAGGATAAAAAGAAGGGACTCATTATTCTCATTCACCCGTCCTACGGCATACACATTTCCATCGACACCTGCATCCATACACTGTTATATATAGCCGAATAAATTTAGTTCTTGTAATTTCTTTTTCAAAATCATATAGAACTATTGCCATCTGATGAGATCCTTAAGCAAGATTGAAACATGTATCATGGCAGCTTGTCCCACATCCACAGTTAAACGACAACTTGGAGTCTAGTTGACATTCTGAATATTTGAAGTTTTTTGTTTTGTTGAATTTGTGTGCTATTCTAAGAGAAGTTTAATATTTGGGCATTTGACTATTCTGGAAAAATTACGAATTCAATTTTGTTGCTATTCATGGGTTGATGCCACTCGGTTGCATATTGATGTAAATTATTAAGATCTTAATGGATTGTCTTTTCGGTTTCGACGAGTTGATCTTTACATTTTTTGTATAGATTGGGAATATAGACACTTCCGAGATCATCAACATATAGATGATTATGTTCTGGAGTTTGAAATTTCAGGTGGAGGCCGTGATGAGCAACAATGTACATTATAGAATGCGGATGTGGATGTGGCTCTTTATTTCTTTCACCACATCCACACCCTCCTAAGCATGCATCCTGGATAGACGCAATCTAAAATTTTAATAGATTGAAAACGTTTGAATTCATAATTAATTTTCAATCAACTTATTTGATTAATTAAAGATCGTTTTACTTCCAAATGGTCGTCTATATTATCAGATTTGTATTCAAGATATACCTTCTTGTATCGTGATGATAATATATTGACAATACTTCAAATCGAAAGTGGTAACTACAATCTTATTATTTCTTTCGTTAATTCAACTTTCGCATTTGAATAAATTCAACTAGTCAGCATGGCACCATGCAAAAAACCATTTGTCTCGATGAATTCCGACATATTCTAGTAAGTTTTTTCTAGAAAAATTTATATAAGTCAAGATTTTTCTACATTTATTTGAGCGCGTGGACGTCGATGTGGATGAATGTAACTATGAGCCTGGTTATTAGTGTCCATTTAGAAAACACAGACACCTATAGATCAACACTCTCATCCCACATCCACAACCTTGCCCCACCCCAAGAATGAATACTATGCTATCATTAGAATAGGCTACATATGAAGAAGTAAAACTCTAATCAGATCAAAATTTATTTCAAATACAAGCGAACTTCTCACTTTATTCAGTGTCAACAATTCAGTTTTGTTTTGTCTCGTAATCAATAAAAGACAGGGACGAAGTATGAATATTGAATACTTCGTACTCAAAAATTTCCCGTATATGTACTGGTCACTCCGGCAATCGTTGTTATTGTCACCGCATAGGTATCATCACTGGTTGTTTTCAATGTTGCACCCAAATCAAACTCGGCGGTAGCACTATAGGAAGCACTCCAACAGTTAACATTTTGTCCACTAACAATATTCCATGTATATATTATCTGTGTAGTATCACTACTGTGCGAAGGATTTACTGTCCCTCCTGGAAATGTATTATAACTATCATGATATGTTGCACCACCGGCCTTTTTTGTAATGATCTGAATAGTAACGTTCGTCCAAGTGGCCAAACAACTAATGGTGACTCTTTCATAACCATACCAAGGGCCTGTAGACGTTGCTATAGTAAGAATGGCTGTAAAAATAAATATTAAAAAATGTTCGATTGAATTATTTATAATTACCAAGTAGCAAAAAAGACTACTTCTCTATATCAAACTGTAGATCGAACAAAAACTTTATATTACTTAAATTTATCATCTGATTACTCAACTCGAATAATATTTTAAAAAAAAAATATTGATTTATCAGTATCAGGTCTCCTAACTACTTGTATGACGTTGAGAAATCGGAATACTTTGACAAATACATTGCTGTATACTTGAGATGTTAGAAATCCAATGAAGTTCAAATTGAGTGTCCGCTAGATCTACTCGAAGTAGGGCGATATAATATTATTTTCATTTCGACATATACACAAAAACTATACTTTTAAAATACTGGGACGAATATCCATTGATAAGAGTACAAATATGGTATTGTCAGATTTTAAATAGATTGCTTTTTTCGATTCATTTTGACTTCTGCATGGTATGTAGCGTCAGAAGTGTATAGTAACTTATTCATCGAAATGTTTTGAATTTTTGATACAATACAAGTTAATTGAGAAACTGATAAACCACTTATATTGTGATATTAATTATACTTCATCATAGGAAAGGAACCTTAATTAAGTTTTTCCTTCGATCAACAATGAGAAATAGTAAAAATAACGCTTCGACCCGCCCTACACTCAGTTAAATACAAAACCTAGATGTTTCATATTGTAGCTCCTTCCACTTTTACAAAATTTATTGAGTATCATTTCAAATCTTTTGAATATAGAACATCAGAAATCTACTACAATAATCTTTACGAATAATAAAATTTGTTAAAACAGAATCTCTTGTTATTGGGCTGACATTGATTTTCATTGAACTACAACTAGTCTTTTTTGTTATCTTGTGATTCAAACCTAATTCCTTGTATTTTCATCGATTTTTTTAATTTGACAGACATATGGATGATGTTTGCCATTGTAAAATATATATAATTACACTTGAGAACTAGAAAAAAATCTATGAAATTTTGTCTATACTCTCTTATTTCTTTTTGAATAACACATAGGGCTGAAATCGTTTGGAATAGATAATGCTCAAAATTCTTGCTGAGTTTCACTATGGAGTTGAAGATAGATTAAAAATATCTCTTTAACTAACATTGAAAGAAGCAGAAAGGCTTTCAAATTTATAGAGATTGAAGCTTGTCTTACTATCATGGTTGTTTTATTTCAAGTTTTTGATATTTAGTCAAGGAAGAAAAAGCGGACTTTGCATTTGAAGTTAATTTGAGTTATTTTGAGAGTACTTCGAGTTAATTTACAGTAGCTCGAGGTACTTTTAAGTAATTTTCTATAGTTTTAAAGTACCCTGACGTACTGGAAGTCCGCTTTTCCCCCTTATATTTGGTTCAAAGTTTCTTAGAAAATTTCTTTGACTCACGTGTAGCAGTTGTGCTGGTAGTTGTTGTTGTTGATGTAGTAGTCGTACTTGCAGTGGTTGTCGTTGCTGATGTAGTGCTTGTAGTGCCAGTTGTTGTCGATGTTGTAGTCGTACTAACAGTGGTTGTCGATGCTGATGTAGTGCTTGTAGTGTCAGTTGTTGCTGATGATGATGTCGTAGTTGTTGTTGATGATGATGATGTCGTAGTTG